AATTTGCTACACTGTTGGAACTGCCCACTTGATTATGCGTTGCTAGAAATATCCACCGAACGTGATACTTTAATAATTCGTGCAACACTGCGGTTGTGATTGCATCTCGAACAAGCCCGTACACATAGCTGGCCGTGTTGAGAATCAGCATTTTTTAGGGTAACGACAGCGGCGCCTATGCCACTTTTTACAGCGATGAGAACGCCGCCCCACGAGTGGTATCTGTTGCAGTACTGTCTCTATCTTTGCGAAAAACTGTAAACAAATTTTGATCGAAGAACTCCTCATTGCAAAAATTCATATTAAGCCATGTCTCCATCAAAACAATAACATCGAAATCGGTGCGTGTTGTAGCGAGATAAATATACATCATTTGCTTTGGTTCTCATGCCAAAAATATTTTGAAAGTAGATTTTAAATGAATTATTTGACTTGGGAGGAACAACTAACTTGGGGGAAGTGGCTCGCTTTGGTTTTGAAAAAAACGGAAAGGCCGAACATTTACGTTGGCCGGACAGACCAACTTGAAATTGATGTAATTAAGGGATTTCTCATTAGTATCTTTTTAATAAGCTTGTAGCAGACAATTAGTTGTTTGTCAATGCCGGCATGTTTCTCAAGGTAATCTGTAATGTCAACTTCTGTAACCGATGGCTTAACAATGACAAATGCAGCCACTTAAAACGCTCAAATACATCCAAGTCATTACTTTTGTTCCGACCAAGCAGTTTTTCAAAATTCAAATTGGATTTGTTCGAAACCCGGCACTCAGGAGTTTTTGGCGTCGCTGATTACGAATCTGAAGTCATTTTTTTTTTTAATTCGGAACCAGTATAGCTATAAAAAAAAAAAAACTAAAATTAAAACGTGGGTACTGAACGTGTTAAGCATTGTCAAGGTTTGAAACTCGTTACCAATGGGTTTCTGAGTTTGCTGATTACGAAAATGATGTCAGATTTTCAAAATTTAAAATGGCAGATCCAATATGGCGATCAATGGATCAATGGATCCGCCATTTTGAATTTTTACAATATGACATCAGTTTCGTACTCAGCAACCCCAGAAACTCACTGGTAACGAGTTTCAACCCATGACAATGCTTAAAACGTTCTATATCAACGTTTTAATTTTAGAAAGATTTTTTTTTAATTTGATAGCCATATTGGATCCGTCGTTTTGAATTTAAAAAAATTGACTTCAGTTTCGTAATAAATGACCCCAAGAACTCCAGAGTGCCGAGCTTCGAACGAATCCCATCATTTTTAAAAAAACTGATCGCCATTTTAAAATTTTGAAAAACTGACTTCAGATTCCTAATAATAATAAATAGTAAAGAAACCCAAGAAACCCCCTGGTAACAAGTTCCAACCCATGACACTACGTAAATCCTTCAGTTGGAGATTAGTGTTAACCAGAGATGGTGAAAGCGGCCCTAAGACAGGTATGTGACCACCAGAGTAATTACGTGTAAAAGCCAAATTTGTAGCTGCATTTTAACATGTCACAAAAATAAAAAAAATTTAGAACATCAGCGTTTTTATAAAAAACCGAAAAGCGCGACCTCTAAAAAACTTTTTTTCAAAATGAAAAAAAGAGGTTTCTTTTTTTATCACAAATAACAAGATTTTGGGGTAGCGTTTATGAATTTCCAAAAAAAAAAATTGAACCACTCTAATGTAGGTACATAATGTATATGTAAACACATTATTTGTACAAATTTAGTGTGTACTTCTGTGGCATCAAGTTAAATTATGGTCTTGTGGAGTGATTTAATCTGGTTTCTTCTATTTAAGACAACTTCCTAATTTACAAAAAAAAAAAAACATTTTACAAACATCGCCAAGGAGAAACAGAACAGAATTTGTCAAATTGCATCGTGCGCCGAACAGCACACACAGACAGAGAAAATATTGCGCACCATGAATGAAATTTCCCATTTGTCGCAACAACTTACAGAATGAAATCTTAATAAAAAATTCTCTCATTGCAATGTTGTTGCTGTTGCAACCATTCTGAAGCAACAGCTTGCAGTGTGAGGCATTGACAGGCCAGCTTCTCACACACGAGCACACATACACAAATATTTTTATATTTGTGTGAATTATAGAGTACGATGGCACAATGGCAACCTGGCAGCTGAGGTCCCCTGCGAACATTGGCGCCGTCGTTGGAGTAAACATTATAGCCACATCACAACTCAGCCCAGCCAGCGGCCTGACTGTAAACCGCAAGTGTCATTGAGGCGCAGAGGCAGCCACACACTAGAGTATTGTGTTCAGTGGCCATTAAAAGTTTAAAACAAAAAAAGTGGTAATGAAACTTTAAGGAAAATTGCTTTTGCAACCAACACGCATGACCGATTATTTCCCATGAAAGACGGGTCTACGTAATCGGAACGCCCCAGATTTATATCTGGCTAAGGACATTGAACCTCTGGGCCTAAGGGCCACTTTCTCAATGTCTGGTTAACACTAACTTCAGGTTAACCATCGTGATCGACGAGATCGACTCCATAACATATAAAATTGAGTCGATAACCATGTTTAACCTCAAATTAGTGTTAACTAGACATTGAGAAACCGGCCCTAAGAATATGATTTATCTGCCTTTCGACCCAGATTTATATATGTTATATGCATGGAGTCAGTATCGATAACGATGTTTAAGCGGAGATTAGTGTTAACCAGACATTGACTAACCGGCCCTTAAGGCCGCTTTGTTGTTGTTGTAGCGGCTACAACAACCCCGCCCAGATTGGTTAGTATATCAATTATTGTCGTCAAGTTCAACTAACGGAAGACCGAAGAAGCGTGCAGCCTCTATAGGGCCTGTCCACAAGGACAGAGGCGTCAGTTGAGTCGGGTTTACCGGGCATACGAAGAGATGTTTAGAGTCGTGGGGCGTCTCTCCGCATGCCGGAGACTCATCTGACACATCTGCATATAATCTGCTCAGGTACGAGTTTAGAAGCTCCGTCTCGTCATGTCAGGTGATTGAGTGCCTAGAACGGCATTCACAGGTCTGGAGTCTACGTAACTTGAGACTGACTCCCTGTGAATGCCGCTCAGGGCCTGTCGATATGCTGAGCGTTCCTCTGCAAGCAAGCGTCTGTTCGGGTGTTGCTGTTGTTGTTGTTGTTGTTGTAGCGGCTTACAGAGCATTGTTTTGGGCTCCTTTATGGGCAGCATTTTCGACTCGGCAGATGGGGTTCTGGCGACATCAGAAGACATTCAGTCACTGTCCGCTGCGTAATTTAGAACCGGCCGGCCAATTGCTTGTATGTTGCCAACAACGTTTCTATGTCTTTGCCCAGGTGCTGCCGTCTAGCGACTTGAGGACCTTGTTGCGCTTTGTACTTTTTTGATAATTGCGGTTGTATGCGCCGAGAAGGAGATCAGACTGTCGAAGGTTATTCCGAATATCTTGGGGTTGTTCCTCGTCCAAATTGGTTCGTCATCGACGTGAATTCCCAGTTGTGTTCTGCCGTCCTTCGTCCAGGTGGTTGTTGTTGTTGCTGAGGATTTTGTAGGGGAGAGGGTTAGACTCCGTGCAGTGAAGAAGCGAGAAATCTTGGCGAGATAACCGTTTACTTTCGAGCAAAAGTCATCAATTCCATTCCCAGACGCCATGATCGAACAATAGTCAGCATAAAAAACAATCGAGACTCCCTCTGGTGGTTGAGGGAGCTTTGAAATGTTAAACAGTAATGGGGAAAGGAAACCACCTTGTGGAGCCCCCCGTTTTATTTTCCTGGGTTTGGCGAAAATGGTCCTTAGGGACGGTTGTTCAATGTCTGTTTAACACAAATCGGAGGTTTCTACCTCCTGTCAAATACAAAGACTGCTTTATCGATCACACATCGAACAACCGGGCCTAAAACTCGGATAAGAAAAATTTAAATATGACTTCTTGCATTGATACGGACGATATCGCACACCCTCTTCAAAAGAGTCAAAACTCAAAATAATACGTTTGTCAGAAAATGCGAAAAACTATTTCTTAGCCCATGATAATCATATCGGCAAGGGCGACTTTGCCTAGGTGTTTTTAACAAATTATAACAAGAATTTACCCCGGCTTTTGCTGAAAGGTAAATAAAAGCTCTGCGTGCACTTTTAGCGCATAATCTCAAAAATGCCAAATTGTGAGTTGTGACTCTTTTGAAGACGGTGTGCGATATGTGCAACTGTGTTTACAATAATATGGAAATGACACACTGTACATGCTATTCCTCTATTCAGTTGGATACTGTTGTTTTCTTACTGCTGCAAGCGACCACTTGCCGCCCTCTTTTGTTTGTTGCTCTTTTGTGCAAATAACAAAACGTATAAAGGTAAATAACAGTTTCAGAAAAAAGGCAAGAAACGAGCTTGGAAAATTGCATGAAGTAAAGTGCAGAATATTGCTGCCACCATTGTCGTCGCTATAACGCTGGCAATTTTTGCTGGCTACCTCCTCATGGGTTGCATGGCACCACCATATATGCAACTCATATGACGCATCAATGCAACAGACATCACAGTCAACTAGCAACATACATACATGCATACCCAAACCATGAACATTGTCCCTGCTCTAGATGATAGTAGCACAGAAAGAGGGTGCGACGAAAGCCGGTGTTCAAAGGAAAGCAAAGAGGCGACAATGCGAGAGACCGGTGTAGGTACATATTGGTTGGTATGTACAAATACAACATTGCAGCGGTAATGGAAGGTTAGAAGTAGCTTAAATTGCCGTTGGATTTATACTTACATCCTTAAAATATGCATAGCACCATTAAGTATTAAATACTACACTAAAAAGAATTGAATGTGTCTAACTTTTTTTTCTGATCATGTAATATACATAGATAGGTATATACATATGTATGTACAAACATATGAATATGTATACATACATATGTATGCACTTGGCACCATAAGCGATAAATCCAACTGGTTATAGTAAATTAAGTTTAACATAAGATCTCTTAACAGATACATATGTACATATATGCTTACCAAATACTTACGCTGTCCAGGCTGGTTATGCCTAAATTTGTTGACTTTAGTAAAGCACTGATGCAGCAATCCCACCTTCTCCTACGCGAAGCATGGCAATTTTATGATTCTACCCGCACAAACATACATACGTACATATGTAGGTGCACCAACGTTAGAGGATTGGAACGAATCGAAATTTTAATATCTGCTTGTTCTTATAGCTTTTTGATGGGCAACCCAAGGAAGCAGATTCTGTTGGCACATATATTATCTAAACTTCTCACAATTAACCTGTTTCACTGCATAACGTATTAGGCAATTGACATTTATGCATATGGTTTAATCACAATTTTCTAATATGTTAATGGAATATCAATTGGTTTGCTTTTATTTTTAATAAAGCGTCGGTGGCGACAACGTAGTCGGCAGCGGCAGTGGTAGAAGCTTGTATGCGCTGTTAGTTGGTGGCAGCGACGTCAACGCCAAAAGCAACAACAGTATAAAGATTTTTGGGCAGATAGAGAACGGATTGTACTTTTTTATTATCCTAAAAGGCCAGATATTGGCCTGGAACTCGGCGTTCACTTTACTACACAACCAAAACTAAATAATAAACATATTTGTGCAATTTTTAGAACGTTTCACAGCGAAAAAAAGGCGACTGAAATGACACACTCATAAATTTGCTCGAAAAATAGCTCGACTGCCAAAAAATGACTAACTGGGTTGCCAACTACCACTGATTGATTAACCGCCCTATTCCCACACCACTGACAAAACTCAGCGGCTGACTATTGCCTTGACTACTGCGCCTAATACTATGCCGCAAATTTATTATAAGCTGTCGTATGACAATTGTCAGTTTTATTGTTATGACTTACTGAGTAAGTGACAACGGCGAAACAATGTTTATATTGTGTTTTAGGCGCAGTAATTGTGACAATAGTCATATGATGAAATTTGTCAGTGTTGTGGGAATAGGGCGGTAAGTCTACACTGAAGAGTAATAGGGGGAAAAAAACTACCCTTTAGTAAATACGGTCATAAAACAAAAATACAAGATCACCCAAGAAGAAAAGTAGCCCGTTATAATCATTGCTTTGAATATGTGCCGCCAAAGAACGTAAATATACCTTTTTTGGTATATTTGCATGAATGTAGATATGATAAGGCTGAATTATGCATACTTTGCACTGCACTGCATAGCCTGTCATTTTACGTAGGGATATAAAATCAGCAGACTTTTACACATGGGTAAATCTCTCAAAAATAGAAGTTATTGAAAAACAAAATTTCAGTCATGTTGCAACCCAAGGGTACTATGTTTGAGCAAAATATAAGCAGCCTCGAAACTTTGGTGTGGAAAATATCCGTTTTAAACATGGTGATAACGTACGCGACAAAGAAAGAAGTGTTTTAAGGCACACATTCAGATATGAGAAAGTCTTCGAATCATGGGAGTTTTTCTTTTCCTTAAAAATTCCTAAACTAAGCTAAATAATGTACTTTTACAATCCTTCCAATTTTTAATAGAAATTATCTCTGGATAGTTTTTATTTAAAAAAAAAACATAATAACGTAGTAACACATACTAAATTAAATATTTAATTAAATTTTTTCAGTTCTTCTTTCCACCGACTCGCGTTTTCAAAACCTTTTTCCGCCATCTGAATACGAAATTTAGTTATAAAGCCGTTTTAATTCATTTACTTGTATTTTCGGTTTACATTTTTATGGGAACACCCAAATGTAATTGCGTTGGGTAAACGTTTACACGAAAAGCTCAATAAACAGATTCCTTATGTGACAACTCTCATGCAATGCCAAGTATGCATAACTGCGCCTTTGGGAGGGGAATCGTAGTAGGGAGCACTTTTGTACAAATTGGTGTAAATTATTTACTGATATTAAATGTTTAATTTATTATTTTATTTTATTTGCTAATTAAAAGAGATATTTCATTCATAAATTACAACTTTACAACTTCCATATTAAAAAAGAAGTTTGTAAAGCTCTTGTATAGCGCATGTATTTAATTTCCTTACATTTGTTTAAAATTACAAAAGAAAGAAAATCTACGCACGTGCGCATGTTAAATGACGACGGCAAATAAACGAAAAGAGTCGCAGCCATCTTTTTGCCTGGATTATAATGGAAGTAACAGAACGGAGTGAAGTGTCACTTAATTATCTATTGTATGGGCAATGAATTCAAACGATTATAATGCACTTGAACGCAATGTAAAACGGGAGCATCTAAAATAAATAGATCCTTACGAATTCGCCGCGATTTGTTACGATTCGCCCCGTGCATTATAACCAAGGTATTTTTGTTATTTAATTTCTTTATTTCTGTCATCGATCACTATTTCTTCAACGTTCTTTGTGCAAAATCAAATTTGAGGCGAATTCATTTACGAAACTTAATATCAAATCGGACACGAGTTCCGAAGAAGGGTCAACTCGTTATTTTTGCAGCGAGTGTGAGGAACAAGGGCGTGCCTTCCCTTTTGCCCTAGTACGTTTTTTGATTGGGTGAAAAGATAAGACAGGCCCTTTTTACTCACACTCGTTGCAATTATAACGAGTTGTCCCTTCTTTTGGTATTTCCCAGTTTTAAAAACAATAATAGGGGTCTTCCCTTAAACTTGTAAAAGCCTCGTAAATCTTATAAATATCGTAAAATTACGAACCTAGTAAAAGAACTGTAAACATTTGTATGAAGCTCTATTTACAAGGCCCTCGTAAAATTACGAACAAATTTTATGTGCAACCGACCTCGTAAACTTCAGTGTTGCCGATGCCTCGAAATTTGTATACTAAAATGTATGATAATATAATGAAAATAATTTAAAAGAATATTGAATTAATTTCATTCACTAACCGTATTAATTTGGGTTTTCTGATAATTTTCGGCATTTTTAGTTCTATTTTAGCCAAGAGTGATAGAGACAAGACGGTGAGATGTTAAGGAAAATACTACAAAACAAAAATTGCTTCACAAAATCTTGATTGATCTGTCAAACAGTCACCTTACGCACCTTTTTATACCTTTTCACATAGGGGGCGTTTCCATAAAAGCCCCGTAAACTTTCGAGTCTTACAGGCTAACCTAATATTCACGCACACCGCCAATTTACTGTCAAAAATTTCTCATGCACATACAACTTGTATGGGATCAACCGAAATTGAACGGCGTGAGTATGAAGCTAACTCAATTTCCAATTTTTGTCCCGCGTGACATTTTGATTTGACGTTTCGCTCAATGAAATCAAATGCAAACTACTCACTCAAGCCAATTTCGGGTGACGCAAAAAACAAATTCGACGGCGTGCGTACCAAAACGCAAGCCGCAAATATTAGGTTAGCCTGTTACACAGTTTAATGGGCTGTTTTTTCTTACGCGTAAAAGCACATTTAGCGCATTTAGCTCTAAATGCTACTCTAAATGTACATTTATCCATACAAAATTCGTTACCTAAATGCAACTCCATTTTTGCATTAAGGATCTAAATGCTAAAAGCAACCCTGTGATCATGATTCAATAATACAAGGTTAGATAATTATTGACAGCTGCGGTTTGACACTCCCTTACAAAAGGTTGCATTTGCGAAGGACAGAGAAAGGGCAAGAATGCAATCCCTTGTTGCGAAAATGGTAGTAGAAAAGTACGCAAAGTAGGCAATTAGTAGTGAAATTCCTTTTGTAAATTCTTAAGTATTTGCAGGAAATCTGGCATTTTAAACGAAATGTTGAACGTAATATTTATATATCTACGTGAATTACGTAATTTATATGCTATTTAGCTGTATAAAAACTGCAAAATGACTCAAAATTAAAATAAGACTACTATGAGATTGATATAAACATCCAATGCTTATGTTTTCATCAGTTAAATATGCTTCATATGCATATACAAATAAACATATTGCACAAAAGCTTATACTTTTATTTCACACCAAAGCTACACTGTTTCCAGGTAAATTTGCAAAGAAGCAACACGGTGCCACCGCTAAGGGAGCGGTGCGAGAGAGACAACTGTCAATTTATCGAACCTTGTATTATTGAATCATGCCCTGTGATCTTCCAAAATTTCCACGATTCGAACATGGTTTAATGAGAAAAAAGTGGCAACATTGCTTTTTCGCGTATACAGTGGCTAGCTGCGTTTGAGTGATCGCCGATCGAGATTTCATTTATTATTTTACATTATTTGGATAAAGAAAAGTTACGCCAATTCAACATCGATGTGATGCTGCTAGAAATCTGGATCAAATTGTGATCAAATCTTTTTTTTTTGTTTCCTAATTAAGTGAGGAAATTTTAATTGACAGCACCGACAAATGAATATATACACAAACAAATGTTCGGTTATGGTTAAAACAATTCAAGTTTTTGTATTGAATTTTTGGTTTAAAATGTATTTTTTCCTTTTCAGTAGGGTTTTTTGCACATTATCTTCTGCGAGAGAATTGATCGTAATAGATACGGATATCTGAATAAGCGACTGGAACACGGCTGTTTGTCAAAAGCATACGATTTCGAACTCCCGTAAATGTACATTTGCTAAATGCGATAGCATGAACGCTCTTCGAAAACATATGTTCGAAAGTGATAAATGTTGCATTTTAAATGCAGCAAAAACGCTGCATAAGACTTTACGGATTTAGGGGAAACCCCTAAATCTTTTGTTGGAAATGGCAACACATATCGAATCACAACGAATGTGTTGAAGAAACAACACTGCATCTTTTGGAGAGTAGCATCAAATCCAATCAGCCTGATGCATCTGTTGGTGAAGGTAAGATCGGCTGTGCAGTTTATGACTTTAACAATAATGTTTCCTACCTATACAACATCAACGACAATCTCACCTCCACTAGTGGAGAATTTGTAGCTATTCTTCAAGCAATAGAACTGGCCAAGAAAAATACATGGAAAAAAATTTTAATTTTCTCAGATAGTTTGGCAGCAGTCAAAATGATTACTCACAAGCAGTCCCAAAACTTTCTAATAGCCGAAATCCATAACCAGGTTAGTAACTCTGAAATAGATAAACTAATCATTAACTGGGTACCAAGTCATGTAGGTATAAATGTCAATGAAAAGGCAGATATAGCGGCCAAAACAGCACTAGTACATGGCAAAGGTCTTACTGTTGATTTAACACCCCAGGAAGCCATTAGGAAAATAGGGTGTACGTTATGGAAGGAAACTATACAAGAGGTTAAAAACAACTGCATCAACTGGGACCGAGATCTAAACGACAGCATTACGGCTACTGCACGGAAACCGTGGTTTAAGACCGAAAAATATAGGCTCAGACCCTACGATATCAAACTCATCAACAGACTAATGACTGGATACACGTACAATAAATCCTTTTTACACCTGATGCATAGCCACATTTCAAACATGTGTAATAGTTGTAACATCATAGATACACCAAATCACGCAATCTTTGAATGCTCCAAATACAGGCAACTGAGAGACGATTTTCACATTTTTGAAAAATTTAATAACATAGACGAAGTCCTCACGACAAAAAATCCACAACATTTTCAAGAACTTATTTCGTTTATTTACAAAGCCAAACTTGACAAAGCGCTTTAAAAGTCAAAAAAAAAAAGAATATGAGGTAGAGAGTTCAGAGACGTTCAAACAATATTAATTGTTAATTAATAAAAATAGGAAAAAAAAAAAAAAAGAATTGAAAAGTATAGTACAAATTTGCAATCCTAAGACTGAACTAAAATTACAATGCGTCTAACCATTGTAAAAATCGCTTAGATACATATATATATGTAGCCAAAAGCACCCATCCATGTAATAATAATCATACTAGATGGTTTCAGAAAACTAAAAATTAGCATTCATAACAATGTGATCTATTTTTAAGAAGTACCCATATAATACACAACAATGTACTAGTCATGACTTAAAATAGGCTGTGCCAAAAAAAAAAAAAAAATAATAAAATAAAAGAATACAATTTTATGTAATCAATGTAAATATCATTTACTCTCATATATATACATGTCAATCAATGAACAACATCAAAATGTACAACAATCATAAACATTCACTCAAATGTACTAATACATCTCATATCATTTTGTCTAATCTATCGTTATCGATTAAGAATGCTCATAAAATTATACATTTCTCCTTGTCAACGACTACCTCCACCCTACCACAGCTGCTAAGGACAACGAAATTCCAAACTCAGCCAATATAAATCACATCGATTTCTGTAAAATACAACACACCCGTGAATAATCTGGCACTGTAAGGGTAGCAATCAAGCCCCGCCAACATCACCTTCGGGAGGAAAAGGTTTCCAAAGTCAAAAAAAAAAAAAAAAAAAAAAAATCCAATCAGCTGTTTTTGTTGACAGCAGACGCCACAGATAACGCGGACGCTTTGAAGTATTGTAATTTGTATGCAGTTTTTGTTTAAATAAAGACAAAGATGGCGCATAATCCTTTGGATAAAATACATGCTCTAGACGAAATAGAGCAGGAAATTATAATGTGTCTTCAAAGTGCAGGTTATTTTTATAAACATGTGTATGTACAAGCAAACCGGCACAGTACAAAATAACTTATCTTATCAGGCCAAGCATTGCAGGAGCTCAGCAAGGAAAAGTCTTCTCAGAAAAGCGCAGAAACTCAAACGCAACAATTTCTGAAGTCTTTATCAAATGTTGAGTCCAAACTCAGCGAACAAATAAATTACTTAACACAAGTCTCGACTGGTCAGCCACATGAGGGATCTGGATATGCCTCTGCAAAAGTTTTGCAAATGGCTTGGCATAGAATACAACATGCACGCTCTAGAGTGCGTGAGTTGGAAGAGTCAAAAGTAAGGGCTCATTAAACACTTATTTAAGTGCAACCTCTGATTTTTATGCTATTGACGTTTTCTTTTTAGGCGAAATACACGCATGCCGCCCGTCAGCAGCAGCAACAACGCCAACAGCAACATGCGCAGCAGCTAGCGCAGCAGCAGCAACAACAGCAACAAATGGCGCAGCAACAGCTACAACAAAATCAGGACAATTCTGTGGGTGCAGGCATGGCGTCAGGTGGAGGACCTCAAATGGGGCAACAACCTCCTAATCAATAAAACTGTGCTAGACTTAAGATCAGTGTATGCCTAATTTTATTAAAAGTATTTAACAATTTCCTTTGCAAACTTAGTAAACGTAAAAAATATATTTATTCTTTATTTTTCTCGCCAATGCCAAAAAACTTGTTCTCGCATACATAACGAACACATTGAAGTAACACATTGCGTTCGTGGCGTATGTCGGGCTCAAGTAATTTTTCCAACAATGTATTCTGCTTTCGCAATCGGGCTTTGCGATAGTCTAGTCCAGATTTTCGCTTATGAAGTTGGTTAAGTTTTGTACGTTTACTAGGTGCCGGTTGATTGCTCACGCTATTTGAAGTGCCTTCAGCGGGCTCAGTGGTTTGCGGTCGTTTTATTGGCATTGGCAGGTCAATTGAACGTGCTATTGGAGCCTCTTCAGGGCCTTCGTCATCTGAGCAAACAAATTCTTTCTTTGTACTATCATTTGAATATTCTACATTTTTACTTGTATCGGCATTCTCATCGGCTAAATCAGCAGAATTATCCAAATTATTTTCAAGATAAAGTTTTAACGGATTCTGTTCTGAAGATTCAAAATTACTTTCTGGTTCGGTTTTATTTTCAACTGCAACCACTTTTAAAAGCTCTTCATCACCGTGCAGCACGGAAGCTGTGATATTAACAGACTCTTTGTCGACAGAATTTTCGGTATGTTCTGCACTTTTAATTTCTTCTTCCGATTTTATGTAATCTTTTGAAAAATCCTCACTTTCGTTGAGTCTCTCATCCTCATCAGTATCTTCTTCAGAATCATTGTCCGACCCGTACATTCCGAGCAAACCGCTTAATACATTTGTCTCCGTTGGTTTCTTTGGCTTGACATGTTGATAGTCGCTAAGCCCACTTGTACCTTTAAACATTAGCACGCCATCACAACTTCTTTCAATTTCTTCCTTTTCTACGGTTAGCCCAGTTTCTTTTTTTACTGTTTTAATTTTCTCTATTTGCTCATTTTGCTTTTTCTGCTCAAGTTTTTGTTTTTCTTGTTTTCTACGCCTTTTATTGTTTTTTCGGGTAGTTTGCGCGTCCCTTGATTTTACGTTGTTTGGCTGGTTTTGTTTTCCTTTTTGCGGTTTTTCAAACAAGTCAACGTTATTCCGTGCTTTTTTTCTATCGTCATACTTTCCAAATCGGCTTTTATTGGCTTCTAGGCGTTCACCTCGCTTTTCACGCTGCTCCTTGGCTCGTTGACGCATCAGCGAATTTTCTAGTGTGGGATATCTGTGGGATTTTTGTAATACATGCATACATACATACATTGATTTATGTATATTTTAACTTAATGCAACTAACTACGTATTTATGTACTTACTTTCGCTTCCTTTCTTCGCGCCAAGCTGCTATTTCCTCCGGAGAGCTAAGCTTTTTAAATTTGTCAAATAGTCCTGAGTTGTGAAGAGTAGTAACATGTTTATCCATAACTGATGGATGCCCACTATAGTTGCAGTTGTCAAATGGACACTTTTCATGTTGAATTGTGTGGCGTCGCAGATCATCCATCGATTGTAACTCCATATCGCAAGCTTCGCAGAATTGAGGTTCCACTATCGCTGCCGCTTGCACGACTGATGCAGTGAACTTTGAATGAGGATACATTAGGTTTAAATTATACAAACAGCAAAAGTGTCACCTTTATGTGATTTGTCTTCTGTAGGAATTTCCCTGGATATGTAGCTCCGCGTTTTCCATACATTGGTGGTGGTTGATGTCTTGCATGCAAAGTCATACCTGAAGGCGTAAGAAAGTGTGGCTTCATTGCCAGCGATTCCGGTACTTTTTTATTGAAATTAGGAGAAGGTAATGCGAATTTCTGTGGAGTTCCCATCTTTCACGCTATTTCAAGATCCTCGTGTTTTTGTTTACAAAACAATCTTTGACATTTCGTTTCCCACATTGTAGGAATTAGTAGAGGTGCAAAACTATCGATGGCACTATCGATGTTTTTTATTTTTCCTACTATCGATTGTTTTTTGGTCCTATCGATAGTCCGACAGACATGTGATTTAGTATTTATTTTAGTTTTATTTCTTCTTTTCTTTTCATTTCTCTTAAACATCCAAGTTGAACTAAAAATTTATTTGCTACTTTTTTAAAAGAGTAATGTCAAATTTCGAAAATGACGGAAAAACTTGCATCTTTAACAATACCGCTAAAAAACTGATACAAATTAATTTATACCAAAACTTTTAATATTATCTACCACCGCTATTTACTATTTATGAAAAGGTAAATAAAAACCATTACTTCTCAGATAAAAAATGGTTTCTTCTTCTAAAATTGAAATTTACTTGATGAATGCCTTATATATGACGGAGGATATCTAAAACCACAAATATAAAATTTCAGTATGCCCAATTTTTTTCCATTTCAATTCATTTCAAATTATAACTTTACTTCTAACTTAACGGTTAAACAATTAAAAAAAGTGTACAGTAGTTTACCAGAATATCCAAACGTAGTTTAGAAATATATTCTTAAGGAAATCTTCATACGAAAATTGAGCCAAAACCATATTAATACGATACTATCGACGATATATCGATAGTTGTGAAAATAATATCGAAAACTATCGATGGTCTGACTATCGATAGTTTTGCACCTCTAGGAATTAGGGACACAAAAAAACATCGATGCATCGGAAACATTGATGTTTGCTATTCGATATATCGAATAAAATCGACGTTTTGGACTTTCCGATATACATCGATATATCGATGTATTTTTATTTTTCCAAAACGATTATAAAGGCCCGTCCACATAAAACTTTGGCGTTGCGTTGGCGTTGGCGTCGCTTCAACAGCTGACTATGAATACATGAATTCAAATGCACCCGTCCATATAGCCAGAATTCGGCAACGCTCACGCCAACACAAAGCAAAAAGATGGCCAACTCTCATCTTTTCGCGTGCGTTGCTCGTCAGCTGTTGCAAATAAATAAAATTGTGTGAAATATTTTCCCCTTTTTAATCAATGGCGGGCAAGAAATATCGTTTTTAATGCAATTATTGATATGAAATATTAATTTATCCGTCGTTAGTATGTTAATTTAGTGGCCCAAGCATTCGCTGCCAAGCGTTCATTGTAGCAAGCATACTTTTAACGTGCATTCTGTCAAACCAACGCCAACGCCAAAGCCAACGCGAAATTTCTATGTGGACCGGCCTTAACCCTCACTACTCCTTTCTCTGTTGGCAAGAAGAGGGGCTGAACATTTTTGCAGAGAGCACCTTTCTGCGTAGGCGGCCTTCGGCCGCACTTAGGGATTATAACCCTCACTAACTAGAATTCTCCTTTCTGTGTTGCCGAAGAAGAGGCTGAACAACTTTTGCAGAAAACAACTTTCTGCATAGGCGGCCTTCTGCTTTCTGTTTTGCTTAAGAAGAGGGGTTGAACACCTTTTGCAGAGATATTTCATGAATATTTTTTTTTTTGACAGCTCAGCTCGGAAACTTGCAAAAAATAGCATAAATTAGTGCCCAGATATAGTAAATTTTATTTTTGTAATAAAGCGTCAACTGTTGTCTACAAGTGTTTGCAAAAGGTTTTTGATTCGATTCACGCGTTTGGGCACAGCAACCCAAAATTGTTGTACAAATTCATAAAGAGTACCCGCCGTTTCTTTTTAATTTTCAGGTGTTCCAAGACTGTTTAAAGCATGATAAAAACATAGCAAGGTAGAACCGTTCTCTCAATTTGTCGGCCATGATTTTTTTTTGAAGTTTGCCAACATTTTAAAATCATATAAAAGTGAAAATAAAGAATTGAAATTGTTTGAAATTGTTGTTGCTTGAGATTGAAAATGAAAATGTGTGTGTGAGTTTGTGAGTAAATTTAAAAATTAAACTGTTTGGAAACGTCAAGAATTTTAAAAGTGACTCTCAGCGGTTCTACCTTACTATATTTTTATCATGGTTTAAAGCATTGTACAGTTTCATAAGTAAAAACACTATCAGCTGATTGCCAAAAAATGCCTACAGCTGAGATCACCTGATTTTAAAACGCACGTTTTTGCAACATTGTTGCATTAAAAAGGTTAAAAAATCATAATATATCTTATTGAAAAGTTTAAAAAATTTCGTGCAAATTTAGGAATTTATAATTAAAAAAGCATTACTATAACTAAGAAAATATGAATTAGTGTAAATTTTGTTAGTCATAGATATTATTTTGAAGTACTTTTGTCGATTTTGCATTGATTTTAATGTTACCATAAAATGCAACTTTGTGATTGTAATGATGCATTTTATAAGTACCATAAAATACATCACTGCATATAAATATGGCCGCGGTCCACGGTGCAGCGAACAAAGGTGGCGCCGTCAGTGGTACCGCTACTTTGGTTTTGCCGATTTTGACAGTTGTGGTAACTTGTAAATAAACTTTTGTTTACAAAGCAGCGAAAGAGAAATTTGAACTATAAGTGAAAAATCAGTTTAAATTGTGTTAATTTGCAATTTGTGAGTGATTCTTGAGTTGAAGACTGCGTAAAAACTAATACAATGAACACGGTGCAGCGAACAAAGGTGGCGCCGTCAGTGGTACCGCTACTTTGGTTTTGCCGATTTTGACAGTTGTGGTAACTTGTAAATAAACTTTTGTTTACAAATCAGCGAAAGAGAAATTTGAACTATAAGTGAAAAATCAGTTTAAATTGTGTTAATTTGCAATTTGTGAGTGATTCTTGAGTTGAAGACTGCGTAAAAACTAATACAATGAAGTGCTGTGTGTTAAATTGCGACAGCCGTCAAGATGCAAGAAGCGTAGATGCAAGTGTAGCGCTGGGACGAATCGTTGCATTTTGTGTACATAGGGCACGGCAAAGCCGTTCCCCAAATGTTTCTCTATTATTACATTAACAGCATTTCCTCACAATGATTTTGTTTCTGCTCCACGCAGCCTCCATTAACAAGTTAACTAATCAATCCCGCAGAGATGCTGCTGCAGTTTTCTGTAGCAGCCTTAATTGCAAAGCAATGGAGTGCACTAAAACGTTTGCTGAAGCAGCCTCAATTGCAAATTAATGGAGTGCACTAAAATATTCACTGTTCTCTAATAGATTAGGTG